GAAGATGGATAGTCGAGATAACTATTCGAAACGTCAGACCACAAATATACCTAACCCGGTGAACGCCTTTTCTCCTTCTGTGTTACGATGTATTTGGTGAATGTCCAGTCTCCTCTTAAATGAATTAACACAGGTGGAGTGGACAACCTCTTCGGGAAGGGCGTTCCACGCTGCAACTATTCTGTTGCTGAAGAGGAACTGAAGGAGAAACGTCGAAAGAAATTGACGAGGCCTGGTGAAGACATCCTCAGTTTTGCCATTTCGATGGAGGATGAGCTGTGACGTCCAATTTCAAACGCCATACGAGATATACTTGTGCATATCACTTACATCCGACGCGCTACCCAACAGGATCCTGTCTTCAGCCATGCTATCACTTACGTACATATTTGTTGGCCAACAACTGCTCTCGATGACGATCTTCGCCAACTCTTCCTGGCCCACGTATCGCTATCTTTTAATGCTAGTCTCATGCTTGTAGACCGGGTGGTTATGTCGTCTTCATTCCGACGTGCTATATTACACTAATTACATTTTGCCCATCCCAGTCCCAAGCGAATGAAGGCTTTTACTCGCGGCATTACCTTCAGGTCGGGTATTTCCAGTTACATCTGTAGGAGTCCAAGCCGTGATTGTGCTCAGAACATTACAATTATCACGCCCAGTTCCGTACAGTGAGAAGAGGGGTAAGACCAGTTGGAGTTGTTTATTGTGTACAGGAACTCAATGGTGGTCTGAATCCCAGACGCACGGCAGGTACCGGGCCCTGCACGCGCGCGTCTGTCTGCTAGTGTTCTGTGGGTGTGATTGAATAAACGCCATGCGAGAGTGAGTCACTGGGCGCTTGATCAACTACTTGACCAATAGAAGTCTGCGACACCTGTGATTGGCTGGCCCGGAAGGAGGTAGAGTAGCGAAGTCACGTGCGCTTTGCGGGCTTGGCGCCAGCGCTACACATCCAGCAACCGTATATGCCATGATCGCTTTCCTACGTCGTAGCTAAAGCCAGGATAGTCTACCAGAGATCCTGGTTTCGAGGAATGAACCAGTATCATTATGAGTTTATTTACGGTAAATGAAAGCACTATCGGAGTGGGTTAAGTTAATAGGAAAGACCCTTGCCTCAGCGACCATCGGGCC